AAAAAAAAAAAATACCAGAGACAAAATTGTCCAACAAGATGTAATTAGTTAGTAAAAAGAGGCAGTGTTGAGTAACATCCTTAATTTATTGGGGATCGCATTTGAGCCAATAAGTTGAAACATTTGGTGGGACTCTACAGATTCTCCAAGGTCCCATGACCAGGTCAGGGGAGTCAATCTCCAAGTACACGTGTCCACTTTTACTTGCGAGAGACGATTTAACAATATGCATGTTTCCAATATTCACGTCTTTTACTTCTACTCATACTATACTAAGTTCTGATAATCTAATTATCATTACAAAAATTAAAATATATTATACATGAGTCACCATGAATAGCAGCAGTTCATACAAGACTCCACAACTTATTCCATACACATTACAAGAAAAAATTACACACATTGAGAAATCACCAAATTGAACTCCAAAAAGTTCATATTAACTTCACACACAGTACATATATAGTCCACCTAATGTAAAATCACCGCTTTTTGGCAGCCGTCTCGCGCTGGCAGTTGAAGAAAACAGCCGCCACCGGGAGACCCAAATCGTTCTCCTCCGCAAATTTCCTCGTATTAAATCGGTCCCTACACGGCGGCGGAGAACCGAGCACGTGACCTTGCCTTTGCTTTTGTTTGAACAAAAGGAATACGAACCTGTGGATACCTATGTTTGGCCTCGGCATTTCGTAGCTCACCACTTCTTTTCCTGTATATCATTATAATTATTCATTTTTTTTAAATTGGTGATGATTGAGGGAAATATAAATATTAATTAATTGATTAATTATAATTTTATTAATAAAAGGCAATGGTGAATTACCAAAAGAGGAATCAGTAGTGCCTGGGATGTCTGTGACTATCCTGCACTCATGAGTTGATGTTGATCAAATCAAACTTTGTGTGGTAATGTGTAACAATATTAATATAAAATGTCAGTTTTAGAGTTCTATTTTTGGTTTATTTTTGCTTTAGGAAATTCTATTTATGCTCAAGCACTCTTGAATTAGAACTAGGTTATTTACGTAAATATTTTTTTCAACATGTACTATACGTGTCTTTTGTATTTTCAACTTAAAGTATTTTTTTTTTTTTGTAAAAATGCAACTTGAACTACATATATAGTCACTATTTTCATGCTCGACCACATTTTGACCATAGACGTATCCTTTTTTGCAGATGATCGGACGGTCAAAAAGTTGTCAAGCGTGCAAATAATTGTATATATTTTGTAGTTCAGGTTGCATTTTACGACAAATAATACTTTAGGTTGTAAATCCCAAAAACACGTATTTTTTTTTTTTATGTTCTTAAGTTGTAATTACCAGTGCAAGTGCTCCCTGAGATATGGATCACTCGGACCAGGAACATCAGGATCTGTCATAATCTATAACAGATAATACAAAACAATTAATTCATAATACAATAGTGCACTACAATCAACTGAAATAATAATATGTAAATAAATTCTAACAGAGTACTATATATATTAGTCTCGCAAAACCTCATTAATTAAATATAGTAACAACTTTCCATCAAACTAGTAACATTTTCAAAACAAAAAAAAAATAAAAATAAAAAATAAAAAATAAAAAATAAAAAACCATAAGATGCAGACTATATAGTATGGTTGAAATAATATATTAATAATAATAATAATAATAATAATAATAATAATACTAATAATAATAATAATAATAATAATAATAATAATACCAGGGTGAAAAATGATCTCATATCACCACCATGAACCTCAACCCTAGGTTTAGTGGTGATTGAGGAAGGAAGAAGATCATGGCCATTGTAGACATTCTTGTTCGAGTGGTAAGTTACGCACATTTTAACGCTGCTCGAGAAATTGTCGACTACATCTCCGATCACTCGACTGATAACAAGAGGATAATTTGATTCCATTTCTTTTTTTTTTTTTTAGCCTTCGCTTGTGTGGGGAAAAAAAAAATGCTAAGAGAAAGATAGTATTTTTATATGAGGATGTATTTGTTTAAGAATGGAGTAGCTGAAACTATATATTTATAGAGGCAACAAGGAGAGTATAGCTGAACAATTATAGCATATTTTTGGAGTGAGGAATTTGCGTAATAAGTAAATTGGGTTTCTAGAATTTGGTAAAAGCTCCAAGTTGGGGGTTATTTTTAGTAATTTTCAAAAAGTTATGAGAACTTGTAAAAGATGATTTGACTTGTGCATATTCTAAATTATTTCTCATAAATTGTATGTGAACTTTAGAGGTACAACTAGGGTATACATAATTCGACTAAAATCGAAAACATTGACGGAACTAAAAATTTCGATTCGGTTTTTATCGACTCGGTCGGTTTTTGATTTCTCAGTTTATAATTTTTCGGTTATTTAGGTCGATGTCGGTTCTCGGACATCAAATGTTTGAAATAACCGAATCGACCGAATATGTATATATATTAAAATGTACAATTCAGTCGGTTTGGCCAAACCGATCGAAATCTACCAAGAAATTCAGTAGGTTAATGTTTGGTTTAAATTGATAATTCGGTCGGTTTCGGTTATTGACATAGTATGGTTCGATTATTTCGGTTTCCCTAATTCGGTTCGATAGGTCGACCGAACCGACCGATGCACACCCCTAGGTACAACTACACATATTGTATGGTATATAGAGTTCAACGGTTTTTTCTATGGAGCCATCAGGTTGTTTTTCTTTTGAAGCAATCCGTCTATGTGGCGCTTATGTAGCACCATGTGTATGAAAATAAATTACATGTGTTATCTATTTTTTTATTTTAAATAGATAAGCAAAACAAAGTAAATAAATAAATAAGAGAGAAAGGGTCAAACGATTGGGCTCTTCATTTAAATGACCTGGTCAAATGTCTTTTTTGTTTAAATGACCCCATGTTTTATTTTTAGTTTTTGTATAAAATATGACAAATAGAATGTCCAAAACATCTTTGTTTTAAATAACGAATTTACTTTCATTTTTGCTATATATAATGAATGTAGTTTTGTTATCTGATATGATTTTTTTATCCCGAAGTTTTCTAATTGTCTTAACATATCGGATACGTTATCTATTCTATCCGACATATCAGCCAGAGAGCGTTTCTCTGAGACTGAGAGTCTACTTGATTCTCCAAAGAGTTTTCCTTAACTTGCATAGGATTTTTATTTCCTATCAAAGTCTTTCCTTTAGCTATATCAATAGCCCAGTGTTCTTCTAGGGGTGCTAACTCACAGAAGGTTTTTCTTCTACTGAACCTATATCTGAAAAGATATCTTCTAGTTCAATATAAGATTTTTTCCTATAATTTATACTATAGTGACTATTAGTCAAAGCATAACTTATAACATATGTAACACTAAAGAATTTATCTCCATGGTTCATTAAATTTTCTCTTTCAAAGTGGTGAATGAAAGTTAAAGTTCTATTTAAATTCACAGCTTGAATAGACATGCCAATTTAGGATAAACAGTGAAGACAAACTTACCATAAGCAAGATTTTCTCTTGCTGCTCCTAAGATACAATCTTTTCTGCCATTAATTTTATCATCAATTAATGTCATTTTTATAGAAGTATCAATTCCTTCATGATAGCTTTAAGCAAATTTTTTATTGCTCCTAGATGAATTGTTGAAATTTGATTTCTTATATGAGATGGAATTTTCTCCAAATTTTTTCGTATTTTTGCTTTAGTAATTAAAGACAGGTATACAGTTCCTTTAACATCTCTTATGTCTACATACAATTCTTGCGTGTTGACAAAATAGAAAATTTCATTTTTTTTTTTTAAGAAATTTAACATTAGAATGTTAAAAACTTCTCTTGTTTGATATTTAACTTTGATTTTTGAATCTTAGTTAAAACATCTTGTTTTATTGCCAAACTGGCTTTAATCCGTTTTCATTTTCATTAAATACAATTTGTGAAACATCACTATTAGACATAGATTTTGTTCTATATTTTTATTTTTATTATCCGTATTGGAATTCATATCCCAAACAGGTTTTCCAATTGTCTCCACCTTAAGATGAGATCACGAATACTAGTATTCTCCATTCTGAATTTTAATTTCGTATTGAAAAATGAACTCAGAAAATATTGATCAAAAGATCTATTATCCGATAGGATTTTTCTTTTATCCATGGCTCGGATACCAGGATTTTTATACAGGCTGATTCCCGTGCGAAATTTATATAAGTTATCTAAGAAACTCATTTTAAGCCATAAGAACTAAACTTTGTTGTTGTGCTCTCTTTATAAACTTCTTTAATGCAAGAATGAATGAAACTATTCTATTAACATTATCAATATAGGTTCACATAGTTGCTATTTTTATTTCTACGGATGCAAAACTATAAAATTGCATAAAACTGTTCAAGTTTTGTTCTTCTTCTCTTAAACTAACTGTTAGTCAGAGTATTTGCTTTCTTAATGTTTTGAGATAGTTTATATCTGAAAACACTACTCTTACCCGCAGCTGCCAAAAATCATCGTTTTCCATAGTAAGCTAGAGTTTTAATACTCAAACAAAATCTACGAACTAGGCAGCATCCAACAGAGATTCTTGTTTTTCTGCTTTCTTAATTGACTCCCTAATAGAAACAATTAAGGCCATCATATTATTTATTCTGAAACCATGAGTTATTATGGTATTCATTCTTGTTTGTCCCATTTTTGTGTCTTTATTTTCGCTTTATTTTCGCTTTATTTTTCCCCGCTTATAGGATTTTCGTAGTTTATTTGGTCCAATTCTGTGTTTTTTTCCGTTTCTCTCTTTAGTTCGTTTTGTGTGTCTTTTTGCTGTGTTTTGCTTCGTGTTTTCTCCGTGTTTGTGTTTTCAGGAGGTAGATTGTGTTGATCGAGGACGGGACTACTTGAGTTGAGACCGGGATATCGAGAATACTCATTGATGTGCCCAGATTATTGAAAGAAGGACCGAAAAAACTGATCGAAGAGCTGCCATAACAACTCGCGACTCGCGAGACAGTGTCGCGACTCGCGAGTCAGTCGCGACTCGCAAGATGGTCGCGACTCGCGAGTCCAACAGAGCCGAAAAGATGGTTTTCGCGATATGAGTCGCGACTCGCGAGTCATTGTCGCGACGCGCGAGATGATGCGCGACTCGTGAGTTATGTCGCGACCTTCCCCAGAAAATAAAGATTTTTGTTGACGCGCGACTCGCGAGAAGTCGCGACTCGCGACCTGAAGAAAAGTGAAAGTCGCGACTCGCGACTTATGTCGCGTCTCGCGACTTACGCGGCGCGAATTTCGAGGTTGGGATTTTTATATCAGATTTTCGACCTAGACATGAGATACACATTCCAGACTTCGTTTTTTCACTTTTTCTCTCGAGAAACTCATTCCTTTTCATGCTTTTACTCATTTGATTGGATTTTGGAGATTAAAAACTCTATTTTCCTTGCTTTGGATTGGATGTTTTTTGATTCAACATTGAAATATCATTATTAATCGTAAGTTTTTCCTTCTCTATTGTGTGATTGATGATGATGGCTTGGGTTCTTATGAATTTTTATGTTGAATTCCATATGAGTAGCTAAATCTATACGCTAGGGATAGGGGATGATTGATTAGGTTCGATAATAATTGCTTGTTCTTGATTGTTCATATCTATTCAAGTTGTGCTTATTCTAGGGTTAATAGATTGATCACCTGTTTAACCTAACTAATCAACGTGTGGAACCGTTAGGGGAGACGTTGGTCGATATAGGCTTGTTTAGAGTAGACTTGTTCGTAACTGTATTGTCTATGCGTTGCGGGAACTGATAGTTAATCGTTTACATCCACTCTCTTGTTCGTAACTGTATTGAGAGTGAACCTCTGAACGAGAAACGATTTAGGTCCTTAAACCGAGCAATTGATTGCCGGTAGCTGTGGTAGAACCGAAAGCAATTATCCCCGATTCCCTAGCTCTTTAATCATTTGAGTAAATTCGTTTTCTGTTTAAGTTGCTTTTCATTTATTTTCAAGTCATTAGTTATAATCAAAACCAAATCCATTGAACAGAGTGTCTAGGATATTTTCTCTTTTCCGTGATCGAATAAACGTACGATTGAATTCGGCTAACCTTCCTTGCGATACGACCCGGGGAACGAATCTTTCGATTCTACTCCGGTAAAAAAATACTCACAACAATTCTATTTTCAAGTGATACCCTCTGATACTCAAGTTCTAAGTCAAGTTCTAAGACTTCATATCTTCGTTGATAAACTCTTAACAAGGTATGAAGATCTCTTAATTGTTTGCGCTGATATTTCAATGTGTATTTCTCCTTATAAATCATACTTATTGGAAAATGCCAAAAGTCGTAATTTCTCATTTGAAGAAATTATTTTTATTGAAAGATTTTTTCTTTTATCAGTTAAGATTTGTTTAGTTTTTGGTTTTGAAAACCTCTTTCAGTAATTTTGAAATTCCTTTCTTGGCAAATTAAAATTCCTTTCTTAGAAACTTTAAACTGCTTCTCAGAGAGCTATCTAGGATGTAACTACAACATTCAAGGAACTTCTTGTAAAATATTTTATAGTTTGTATAAATGTCATACCTCTGTGTTTGATTTTAACCTTATGTGTCTGAATGATCGAATCCAAGCCTGTGCCACAAGTACTATTTTTCCCCTTGGTACTTCTTCCCTTTGATTAGCAAGTTGTCCTTCAGGATATAATCTTTAATACGAGTTTAAGCAAACTGGATATTTTTATTCAAACCCAAACATTTTTACAAGAGTTCTTGTATGAACACTAGTTATTCATCCAAGCCTCTGATTACAATCTTGAGTTCCTAAGAAGGAACTTTCCACTACTCACACATGGGCATAGGAGAAAGAAAAATTTACAGAAAAACTTCAAGCTAGACTCTGGACTAATTTTCTGATATCCCTTATTGAAAATGTAACTCATCC